CGCTCCGCTCCGCGGGGCGGGAGGCTCGGAAAGGCTCGGAACGTTGACGCTGGGGGACCGTGAAGTGGATAGCATGTTGCGCCGAACGGTGGGCCGGAACCAGTGGAGCGACACGATACCCAAAAGTCCCCGAACGTAACATCCTCCTTTTATCATTCCTCCCCCTCCCTTCTGAGCCTCGTTTGACCGATCTCTATCTCCACTGGAGTGGCCTGGGCCCCACTTGCCAATTGACCCTCCTAGACGGGAATGTAGGTTGTTCCTTTTGGGATTCGAGGGGTATATCCCCAACTGGGGTGGTGGGATGGTAGGGCTCGGGATGGGGATAGGGGCGGGGATCGGCAAAACGATACTGACCTTCCTCCACCTCCTCCTCCTCCTCTTTCTCCTCCTCCCCCTCTGCTCACCTTCCCCCTCCTCCTCCTCCTCCTCCTCCTCCTCCTTCTCCTCCTCCTCCTCCTCCTCCTCCGTCCTCGTGCCCCCCTCGTCCATCCCCTCTGCCATTTCGCTCTCCTCGTCCTCCTGCACCGTGCCTCGTTTACATGTAGTTTGTCGATCATTCTTGAACGTCCCATGTGTTCCCTCCCTCGTCAGCATAACTAGCCCTCCAACCCGATGCGTATCAACGCGTGGGCATGTTCGATACACTCTCACGTCTGCCCCCCACCTCCGCATCATCGCTATCATTGCATCCTCATTGTCATCGTCCTCTTCCCACCTCATCCCTCCACAGGCCTACTCCTCCTTCTCCTCGCACCTCTCCTCCTCCTCCTCCTCCTCCACCTCCTCCCCTTCCTCCTCCCCTTCCTCCTCCTCCTCCTCCTCTTCTTCCTCCTCCTCCTCCTCCTCGACCTCCTCCTCCTCCTCCTCCTCCTCCTCCGAATCCACCGAATCCTCCTCCTCCTTCTCCTCCTCCGAATCCTCCTCCTCCTCCTCCTCCTCCTCCTCCTCCTCCTCCCCCTCCCCCTCCTCCTCCTCCCCAGGCGCCTGCCATGGAGAGCGGAGCTCGCGTCCGAGCTCCTGCCGGGAGGCCTCCGCCTGGGCTCTGCCCGCCGCGCGGCCGACGGGGGAGGGGGGGGGGGAAGGTGGCGGCCGGGCGAGGGGCCAGAGAGGCGGGGGAGGCCGGGAGGGGGGAGAACGGGCGAGGGGAGGAGAGGGGGATTGGGAGGCAACTGCTGGAAGGTCTTCGCCAGAGGGATGAAAGAGGATTGAGCCCCAGTGGGGGCCGTTGCGCCAGAGTGGGCCTCGGATCCAGCGGGACTAAGCCGGATTAAGCGGGACTGAGCGGGATTTAACGGGATTGGGCCAGATTAAGCGGGATTTCGGACCAGGGCTAAATCAGAATTTGACCTCCCAGGAGTTGCATCCGAAAGGGGAGTGAGGGAGCACGGAGAGGGGGGGGGATGGAGCAGGAGGTGCAGGAGGCGAGGGAGGGTGATGTAAAGGAGGGAGGATGTGGAGGACGTGGAGATAAGACGGGATGGGGCGAGGAGTGGAGGGAGGAAAGGAGCGCGCAGAGAGGATGAAGGGAAGGGCGGATGGAGGACTGGGGAAGAGGGGGCTGGAGGGAGGAGGGGGAAGAATCAGAGGCAAGAGGGAAAGGTTGAAGGGGAACGGCAGAATGAGTGAAACATTGAAAAAAGAAGGGGGCGGTGGAATAATCAAATACGATGAACGGTGACCCAGGTGAGTGCAGAATGAGGAAGAGGATCACCCTAGAACGTTTTTAGTTTTGACCCCCCCTGATCTCTCGGCGGTGGGTGGAACTGGTCGTAAAACATCCTCGTCGCGGCGGAAAGTATATTCCTTTCACTGTTGGGCGGGATGGGTATTGTTTGGGAGTTATTTCTCCGGCGGGCTAATCCATTATGGGCTACCCTGGACGCGGGAGGATGTGTGAGCATGGTCTTATCCGGATTGCAATATGAATCGCTTCGTTGTGATGTGCGCCCTTGCGCAAACTCGTTTGTCTAGCACTGCTGGCACATTTCTTGATGGTGCCTGTTCGGCGCGCTCGGCGACGTGATATTGGTTTCCCTCTGTTGCTGGGCGGGCTGGATAATGTTTGGGGGGTTATATCTCCAGCGGAAAAATCATCTTCTCATAAGGATGTGTAGTCATCTTCTCATGCGGATTGCAATAATCGGCGCGCGCGGCGACGTGGGATCATTTTCCCTCTATTGTTGGGCGGGCTGGGTCATGTTTGGGGAACGTCCTCCAATGGAATAATCCATTGTGGGCTACCCTGCGCGCGGGAGGATGTATGAGCATCTGTCTATGACATTACAATATACATGTGGTTAAATGTGATTTGCGAGTTTGCTCAAACTCGCCGTCTAGCACTGTCGGTAGAAGCCCCTGCTGGCGCCTGGGTGGCACGCGCTGCGACATGGGATGTGTTCCCCTCTATTGTTGGGCAGGCAGGATAATGTTTGAGAATTGTTTCTCTGCTTGTGGGCTACCCTGCACGCAGGAGGATTTGTGAGCATCGTCTAATTCGGAATGCAATAGGACTTGCTTCGTTGTGATTTGCGAGATTGCTCAAACTCTTTGCCTAACACTGTTGGCAGAACTCCTGCTGGCGCCTGGTCGATACGGAAGGCGACGTGGGATCAGTTTCCCTCTATTGTTGGGCGGGCTGGATAATGTTGGAGGGTTATTTCTCCAGCGGGATAGTTTATGGTGGGCTACTCTGCACGCGGGAGGAGTTGTAAGCATCTTCTTACAAACTTATCCACGTGCGACCCTACCTAGGAGTTGGAGCCCCTAGGACAGCAGCATTAGTAGTAATAGTAAAGCTAAGCTAAAGCTAAGCTAAAGCTATGCTAAAACTGAGCTAAAGCTAAGCTAAAGCTAAGCTAAAGCTAAACTAAAACTAAGCTAACGCTACGCTAAAGCTAAGCTAAAGCTAAGCTAGGAATAGACTAAAGCTAAGCTAAAGCTAAGCTGAAGCTAAGGTGAAGCTAAGATACAGCTCAGGTACAGCTAAGGTAAAGCTAAGCTAAAGCTAAAGCTAAGCTAAAGCTAAGCTAAAGCTAAGCTAAAGCTAAGCTAAAGCTAAGCTAAAGCTAAGCTAAAGCTAAGCTAAAACTAAGCTAAAGCTAAGCTAAAGCTAAGCTAAAGCTCAAGCTAAGCTGAAGCTAAGCTAAAGCTAAGCTAAAGCTAAAGCTCCCAAGGGACTGGGGGAACCGCGGGGCGGGGACTGGGGGAACCGCCCGGGGCGGGCAACACTGCCCGGCCCCTTTAAGATAGAGGGTAAGAACCCTTCTAGGCAGAGCCTAGGTAGGGAAATTGCAATGGGAATTGCTTCGCTTTGATTCGCGAGTTTGGTCAAAACCGTTTGCCTAGCACTGCGGGCAGAAATCCTGCTGGCGCCTGGTTGGCGCGCGCGGCCAACATGGCAACTTTTCCAGAGTGGACAATACAAAACTCAGTAGAGATTTTGGTTGTCCACGCGTCTGAGGATGGATTTCCTGAGAGCCCGCGCGGGGCCTGAGCTTCAAACGTCCTTCTCAGGGTGGAATTTTTAAAGAGCAACCTTCTTAACGCCAAGTGTCTGAACCAAGATATTTCAACAGAGCGCTGCTGGCGGGCGCCGCGGGGGAAAAACAAGTCCTCCTGTATTGGTGGGACACCAGCCCGTCAATAAGGCCACCGGAAAAACAACAACACTTTTTGTTGGGATTCTACACACCTTTGTGGGATATCTGGGGAACATAGGAGGTTGAAGGATGATGGCAATGGATATGACGCTTTTTCAAGTTGATGAGGACGTCGATGCAAGCGGGAACATGGAAGGAAGAGGGCGAGGAACTGGAGGATTCGCGGCGGATGCAGGGGCAAAGAAGGAGGCGAAGGAGGAGGAGGTCCAGGAGGATGCACGATGATGAGGAGGGCGACGAAAGGAGGAACGAACAGGCGGATGGAGGAGCCTGGCGAGAACGTGGAGGACAACTTTCAAGAGGACACGGAGGGAAAGATGGAAACGAAGAGGAAGGGAGGCCGAAGGGGGGAAGAGGGAAGAGAGAGAAAGAGGGGGGAGTATGGAAAAGGGATGGAGAAAAGTGGAAGCAAGAGGAGGGTGAGGATGTCGACGGGCACGATGAAGACCGCGTGGAACACAGAGGCTTCAAGTATGCCGTGATACTGTGTCCGTGCTCCCTCTACTTCCACGGAGAAACTTCCGAGTAGACACATATAGTTTTGGGAGCCCCCTTCGAAACGCCAGACCCGCACTGCGTATGTATGCGATCCTCTCTCTCTCTATATGTTGGGGAAACGTGGGAAACCAACAAAAGAAATGGTGGGGGCGGTCGGAGGAGGGGCATGAGCGAACAATGGGACCGGAATCGCACACAAGCAGAGCAGATCTGGGTGACAAGCAATACGCTGGCGCATTCAATACTGACGGAATAGAGCACCTATCACAAGAAAGCACAGGGCGAGGGTGATCAGATGAAGAAGGATGATGGGCAACGAGAAGGGAGGAGGATGAGAGGGAGGACGCGGAAGAGCAGAAAGACGAAGAGGAAGATGTGGAAGAATGAGAAGCAAAAGCAACGAAACAGACACCTCCAAACCGGAACAGCAGAACAGAACTGCCCCACGAGGGCAACGACAAACATGACAACTACCAGACCTGCAACTGCAGCGGGTCACAGTAGTAGTAGTAGTCGTAGTCGTAGTAGTAGTAGTAGTAGTAGTAGTAGTCGTAGTAGTAGTAGTAGTAGTAGAAGTAGTAGTAGTAGTAGTGGTAGTAGTAGTAGTAGTAGTAGTAGTGGTAGTAGTAGTAGTAGAAGTATTCGTAGTAGTAGTAGGAGTAGTAGTAGTAGTAGTAGTCGTAGTAGTCGTAGTAGTCGTAGTAGTAGTAGTAGTAGTAGTAGAGTAGTAGTAGTAGTAGTAGTCGTAGTAGTCGTAGTAGTCGTAGTAGTAGTAGTAGTAGTAGTAGTGTAGTAGGTGGTAATAGTAGTAGTAGTAGTAGTAGCAGTAGTAGTACTAGT